GGATATCACCGACATCAATGTAATTGTAGAAGAAAGACTTACCCAGATGTAGACCGAAAGACTCAAACAAATCAACACTTTATCAGCCAGGGAAATATTCTACCCACGAAATGAAGTAATAATGCCTCCCTTGGTGAAATCAATTCGAATTAGATGTGAATAGGTTTAAAAAAAAAAAAAAAAAAAAAAAAAAAAATTTTTTTTGGTTGATAAATTCATTGAAGTCTTACTCTTCCTTATTGATCACTGAATAAAATAATTTTCTCTGCTTTTTCCCCCTCCTCCACTTCTAAACAGTAAACTAAAAAAAAACAACAAAAAACAAACATTGCGGTACCATGCTTGTATTTTTAAATGGTAAACTAAACAAAATTGACATTGAGAAAATAAAATTTAATTTTTAGGCATGTGCTTTTTTTGGAACATGGAATAGCTAATAAAATAATTGAATTGATACACGAATTTTACTTGGCCATTTTATCGATGTTCTCAAAGTAAAAAAGTAAAAATGCACAGAAAAGTCTTTTGTTTTGTTTTACACAGCATTCTTGAGTGTCATACAAAAAAACTGAGTTTTTTTTCTTCTCCAATCTCGGGACATGGAACCGTGACCCCCACCCCAACAATCGATTCCTTTTCAAGTGTTCTGATATGCACTTATTGCTAAGCGAGTTTACACTGACTCAAGTTTTCTTCTTTAAATTGCAGGAAAATTCACAAACCAACGAACGAAAATGAGAAGATTTTAAAAAATGTTTCACACAGTTGAGTTAATTAATTTAATAATAATAAAATTGAAAACAAAGAAAAGTAAACTTTCTTTCCATTTTTTTTTTACTCTTAGTTTCAACTGAACCCCGACAATTGAAGCAATCAACGGGCTGATCAGGATTTCAAACTAAGATCATTTTTTTGTGTCTTTGAAAATAAAAAATAAATAACTCGGCTAACAAATTCCTGCAAAATTGTTAAAAAATGTTTTTTTTACTAATTTACTATTTTTTTTACTAAGTGTGTTAAAAGAATTAAAAAAATTAAAACTTAAAAAAATTCTTAGCAAAACAGAAATTAAGTTAAAGTGTAAAAAACAAATAAATTTTATCATCTTTAAAAAATGCAAATTGAAAATGTACTTTGTAGTTTTTAGAGACAGTTCATTTACTACTTGTAATATTTTTCTCTCACCGATTCAAACGAAATTTAATACTGACAGAATGAATAGTTTATTTTTTTAGAAAACTTTGTGGAAGTATTTTTTGCTGGTTTAGATTCGATATCTCGTGTGCACTTTTTAATTGAGATTGGTCTGAGAATTCTTTTATAAAAAGAAAGACTATTGAAGATGTTATGTTTTTACAATGGATTATTATTGCTATTGAATAGCAATAATAATCCATTGTAAAAACAAAAACTGTACTGAAAGTTCGTCCCGAACGACACCAAAAATAATTCAATTTTTTTTTTTAAGTTGGTGCTTGCATTACATTTCAGATTGGACAGAAAAAAACTACAATGAATATTTATTTTTTTTTAAAAATTACTTAACTTTTAGTTTTTTCACTTTTCAGTGTGATTTTGAAATTCATCTCGTTGCTGTTTGTAACAATTTTTTTTAAACAAAGACATGTTTAAAGAATTGAAAAATGTTAAACTCTAATCAAGTGTGAACCTTTTTTTTAAAAGAATTTTAATTTTTTTCCGTTTAGCAAATGTTAGATCCTTTTTTTGTATGGATGTTCGAAAAGGAAAAAATTCTGAATTACCGTCTTTGTATACTCTTCTCTATCGGAAGATATGATATAAATTCAATAACTCTTGAATTTAGAATAATTCGCAAAAACTCACATTGGATGCAATAATTTATTTCATAATATCAAATAGGTAAGAAATATAATAAAAAAATTGAACTCAAAAGAAAAGTGTCATTTAAATAAAAAAACATAAAAAGCACTACTAATAGTTTTAAAAATAAAATTATTTATTTTACTATGTTTCATAAAAGCGTAAAAGTATTATTCAGGTATTGGTTAAGCTAAGCATAAATACCAATTTCTTGCTGGTATTCCTTCCATATATCTTGAATTTTTTCGCGCGCTTTTTAAGAGTGATTACAATAGAACACTAGTTAAAAATCACACAGTCTCTATCGTGAACATTACTTCATTATGCTTTAAGCAAAAGATAAGTCATTGCATTTAAAAAAATAATACTTGAATTTACTAAATGTCTTCGAAATACATCTCTATTGGATTTTTAAACTAGTTTATACTTGAACTTGACTCTAATGGTGGTTCGAAACGTGCCATTTAAAAATGTTTTTAACGTCTAAAATCTTTATTTACATACGAAAATGTCTCTTTTATTAACGATTAATTTAGCTTTAGGCTTTCAAATAAAAGTAAATTTTAACTTCAAAGAAGACATTTCATTTAAAAATGCGTTTTTTCGTTTTTTTTTGTTTTTTTTTTTAAAGAAGTCCGTCGCATTAGTGAGAGAGAGAGAAAAAAAAAAGATAACTGAAAGTTTTTTTTTTTTTTTAGTTGTTCCAGAATTCTAAAAACAATTTTTTTTTAATACTTAACATTTTGAATAATGTCCATTTGTTTAAAGTTTTGAAACAAATTTCATTTCAATATTTTATATTTGTTTTAAAAAGTAACGAGCAAAAAAATTATCCTATTAAAAATTTGCTTAATAAAGGGGTAGTGGAGAATTTGCAACAAATAAAATATTATTATTGTGTGAAAGGTAAACAAAATAAACTTTTTTAGAGCTCATATTGCGAAAAAACTTCAAAATTTTTCAACAGTAAAAAATTCAAATTGTTTACAAAGTCATCAAAATTAAAAAAAAAAAAAAAAAAAAATTCCATCATTAGCACAACCTTTCCTAATGATTTAAGGTAAAAAAAAAAAAAAAAAAAAAAAGGGACTGAAGATGTGAAGTCTTCAAGTGACGGATGTGCCTGGCTGGTGAGGTTCATTTTCGCCAAAAGTGAAGAATAAACCTTCAGATTTTTTAAAAACTTTCCTCACCAAAGAGCAGCTTTACGTGTTGAATGAAAACTGACACCAACAGACAAAGTATACAAAAGAGAAAAATATTAAAATAATTTTAAGAGAAAAAAGAAAGAAAAACTATAAAAACGTGCGATGAACGAATTCAGGTCATAAATGAATTTTAGCTTCAAAACAAGAGTTTTATTACTTATAAACTTAAGAATCTGTGAATGTGAAGTTTTATAAATTTAAAAACACTTACATTTTTTTAAGAAACTTATTACTTTAAAAAGTCAATATAATTGTTAGAAGTAATTGTCATACTTTTTTTTGTAGTAAAAAGTCCCTAGGGAAATTGAACAGAAGTGTTTTTTGTCCTAAATTTCAGACGAGAAAAAAAAGAAATCAATGAATTACATTTTTGTTATAAAAAAAAAAAAAAAGAAGAAGAATCAATTCCAATGAAGTGAAGATAATACCCACCTACACTAGCAAAAACTAAGAATTCGAATAAGGTTAAGTCAGTGTTGTTTAGAGAATTAAAAAACTTAATACCCCCCCCAAAAAAAAAAGAGAGAGCTTTTTTTTTTTTTTCTTTTTTTAGGGAGGATCAGTCTTTGATTTCAAAATCTGAATGATGACTTTTTTTTTTTTTATTATTGATGCCAATAAAAAAAAAAAAAAAAAGAATTAAAAATAAATGATAAAACTTGGTTATTTAAAAAAACAAAAAAAAACAAAGAATTTCTTCAAAATCGATACGTACAAAAATAGATAATTTAAAAAAATACAATCAATTCTAAATTTGAATTTCTTAAAAGTAATTTCATTAGCAAACAATTTATCAAAATATTTTAACAGCAGTAATAAAAAAAGAAAAAAAACAATGCACTCATCCACTACAAAAAAAGGGTAAAAAAAAAGAAATTAAAAGATACTTTTTTTTACCCAAAAGAGAATATACATTTTCCTACCTAAAGAGAAAGAAGTCTGGATTTTTTTTTAACTGTAGTGTAGTTGAACTTGGGAGAAAAAAAAGTCTGTTAGTGTAAAAATAGTAGCGTTGTTGTACTTGTGCAACTGCTACAAGTGTTGTACCAATGGCAAGCGTTAGCAAGCAAGAAGAGAATTGAATTAAAATTGGCAAATCTATATTATGAGTGAAGGTTACATGCTGAAGATTAAAGGGATATCTCGCTACACAGCTATGGAATTTAAAATATCGACAGACACAGGCAGGTTTTCACATCATCATGGGCTGGATGAAAAACAGAAAAATAATACTTAGTTATTGTATATACGAATGGGAATTTGATTGTTTTTTTGTTTTTTACTTGAATTACATACAAAAAATGAGATTAAAAAATAGAAGATATTTTATTGCGGTCTTAGAGAAGAAGTATGATTAAAATTGCAATGGTTTTAAAATCAGAGGTCAAAGTGACGACCCTTTCAAAGGGAACCTCAAAAGCTCTAGATCTCTGGCTTTAACCTTACTAAGATGATTATTATTGGTAAGGGCCTTCAAATTTCTATCCGAAATTAGTTTACACTATTTCGTAACAACAAAATTTTGAGTTAAATATACTATTTTTTAACCACTTTAGAGTCAGAAAGAAGAATGATTTAAAAACTCAGTTTCAGTTCCTGCATCTGATATAAAACACAGGTGTGTGTCATCACTACAGGTAAAGAAACGAGATTGTCAGATAAAAAAAAAAAAAAAAAAGGGTTTCACTTGCTCCAGATTTGAAATCATTTTTTTCTTTTTTAGCTAACTTTAAAAAAAAAACAACAAAATATTGTTAGTAATCAACCAAGCAACAGTTGCGATACCTCCCCATCTCTCTCCGTCAACCCCACAAAAAATTCTTATTCTTACACACGTGAAGTGTTTTTGTTTTGTTTTTATCGCAAAAATAAAACGGTAATTTTTGTGGAACTTCAAAAATATCGATGAAAATAAGAGAGAAAGAATAAGAGTTTGACGAGCAAAAATTAATGTCTTTTTTTTTATTCATTTTTGGAATTTACAGCCACGACCGAAAGCTAGTATTTAAAAAAAAAAAAATTTATGTCATTCATCCAAAAATAAAGAATGTTGTCATAATTCTTGAAAGAAATGTTTTGCTTTTCACGACGAGACCAGTTTGATTTATTTTAGTTTTAACTTAACTAAAATTAAAACAAAAAACTAAAATTTCAGTGTGCAACTTTTTCAACGATAAAATTAAATTTCACTTTTAAATTCTATCCTAACATGATTTTACAATTATTGGGTAACTTAGTATCAATTGGATAAGAACTATTAAAAAATAATATATTCATTCAGTGTAAGAAAGTATTTAATTTGCATAAATGCAAGGCATTTTTGTGTGTGTGTGACGTGCGTACCTGTTGTACCTGTTGGACTGAAGCAACAGTAAGGGACAATATACATTACAAAAAAAATAAACTGGAAAAAATACACAGAAAAAGTGATAAAAGATAATCTTGTAAGGCGTGTGTTATCAAGATTAATTGATTGTCTTGTCTATAAGACATTCCAGAGAGAAAAACCCAATAAGCAAAAGTACAAAAAACATATCTGATGTCATAAGTTTTTAAAAATAAAAATGAATGAAAAACTAGTGTATTTTTAACACGTAAGCATTATGAATTCGCACGTGGAAATGTGAAGAGAAAAGACAATATTTTGAATAGTTGAATGAAAATGAAAGAAGAAAATTAATATTTTAGAGACTTGTTGGTGATAAAATCTATAGATTACAAACCTGTTTAGTTTAATTGTCCAAATTAGCCGAGTCAGGTATTTTGCCTTAAAGGAAATAAAATATTTTGTAGGGAACTGAAGTAAGCTTTTGCAGACACAACACCAGCAGTGTGCAATTGACACCGACTGACGTCGGTTGGGAATCTATTTACTGTAGATATAGATAGAGATGTTTGTCCTTTAATATCCACGCGGGTGTGTAAGAGAGAGAAAGGGAGATATTTAACAGTAACACTTTAAGTCATGAACGAGTGTGTGTGTGTGTGTGTGTGCGCGCACGCGCGCGCCTATGTATGTACCTATGTGTGGTAAATTCACGTATTGATGCTCTGGAAACGCAATTAATTTTTTCTGCTATTTTAAAAAAATTGTCTTTCTTCTGTGTATGATAGAGCGTGGAATTTTTGCGTGAGTGCTTCTTTACTTCTTAAAAAAAGGTAAAAATCAGAATCAAATACCCGTATCATTACGCAAAAAACAAGTGTTACACTACACTACACTACAGTTTACCGTACGATTTGAAATAATGATGACAGTGATTGTAGTAGTAGTAATAATAATAATAATAATAATAACAGAATAATAACATAACAACAATAGAACAATCAATAATAATAATAATAGCATAACATTAGGCTTAAGCTAATCGCCCAGACTGATCAAAGACCACACAAACTAAAAACAGAATATGCTTTCATTTTTATTTTTTTTTATTGATATGACAATTCCTGCAGACTGTTTATCTTTGAAGAGCTTCAAAAACTATTAAAAAATCCAGTTGTGTTGTGATTGGGGTCCTGGGTTCCATTGGAAAAAGCTTCTTATAGACTCACACTCATTGAAGAGATCTCTAGTAGCGGTAGCCCATAAAACTAAAGTAAACCGAAACGAAAAAGAAATAAAAAATATTTCTCACAAGTACAGCTCAAACCTTACGAAGGACTTGTCTATGTGTGTTAGGTTGTTTTTAGTTTTAATTTTTTACAAAAATGTTCAATGGAAAATGTCATGGTACCATTTCTGAACTTAGATCTCTGGTTGGGACCCGAATGAAATGAATATGCAATACAGCAACAGAAATCAAAGGCAAATAATAATAACTCTGGCGAGACTGTCACTCCCATGTGGGCCTGTACAACTATAACAGATACTACGCCGTCACCAGCAGGTGAGGCATAACTTTTTTGGGCGCAGATGCATGCTCTCCCGAGACCGACGGATGCCACACACTATACAACTAAAGCAATTATAAAATAATAATAATAATAATAATAATAATAACATATCGTACCCGGAAGTTAGGTCACTCCCGGTTACTCAAAACACTCCTACCGAACCCGGATTTCAGTGACCTTCGCCTATTCAAAGCACTAGTCTAAAGAAGAAAACGAAAAAAAAAAAAAAAAAACAAAACTCTTCTGGCGGAAAATTATATCTGCAAACTTTATATAATACAGTCCTTGCGTTGCCCTTAACAACATATGCTTGAATAACGATAACGGCAGAATTAATTTAATAATAATAATAAACGACATTTAGGATCCGTGTTTCTGACTGGCACCAACTGACACAAGAGCAACAACACTTCGCCCGTCCAGCACGAGGACCACGGGGTCGAGCGGATGTGCTAAGAATCATGTGATTTTTATTTATATATATTTATGGGCTTTTAAATTTTTATGTCATGGGGTGTTTTGTAGGTTCCCATTCAAGTATGTGGTATTCTGGTGTATATAGGGTTGGAGGTGATGGATAAATTCTTGTGGTAAATGTAAATTATAATGAATGAATGGGTCGCGAGTCGGATTAACTAGGACTAGGACAGCTAAGGAAGACCATCTCCTCCCTTTTCCCCCTTTTGGCCTTGTGCCACAATTTCGTATTTTCATACAAAATAAATAGATTTGCTTCCCCTCCCTTCCTGCGCCGCCAGCAACAGCAGCCGTAGTTGTCGTCGTCGTAGCCACTACAGTCGTCATTTACACCAGCAGCAGCCGTAGCCGTCGTCGTCGCAGCCACTCCGCCTTTGTCCTCATCATCACCAGCGGACCCGCGACTGACCAGCCTCCGCCTTCGTCCTCATCATCACCAGCGGACCCGCGACTGACCAGCCTCCGCCTTCGTCCTCATCATCACCAGCGGACCCGCGACTGACCAGCCTCCGCCTTCGTCCTCATCATCACCAGCGGACCCGCGACTGACCAGCCTCCGCCTTCGTCCTCATCATCACCAGCGGACCTGTGACTGACGAGCCTCCGCCTTCGTCCTCATCACCACCAGCGGACCCGCGACTGACCAGCCTCCGCCTTCGCCCTCAGACCAGAAGCCTGCCTGATCCAGAGACGACTTTTACCTCATCTCCAACACCACTCAGGATTTGTATTCATTGTCGGGCCGAAATAAAATTTGGCATATAACTTAACCTTTGGTTTCTGTCAATCTTGTCTTGTGTTGTAAATCACATTTTTTCCATACATTTTACTTGCGGGGTTAACGTTCTCATTGGCCCCGCAACAAACATTGATAGGAATAATAATAATATCATATTTGTATGTAGGAGATATTTATTTTCTAAGTATAAACGTATTATGTGTAGTTGTAATAATAACATGGAAAGAAAGCGTAAGACGGAATGTAAGAAAAAGGGGATGTCCAAGATATTAGTTATGCATCAGAGGCGTCAAAATTGAACAAGTGCGGAAATTCAGCTGAGCAGAATAATAACAGACGACAGAAAGCGTGACATAAAAATTCAAAGGCGCGTAGAAATAACGAAAGGCAAGTTTTGAAAAACGAGTAAATGTATCAAAAAATAACATTTGAGATAAAGAAATTACTGCCAGGTTGCTGTAGGATATAAAAAAAAAAACTTGATGCTGAGAACACCATAGTCAAAACTTGTGAGCCAGTCACACACGCTTGGGCGATCATGCATCTTTCGATATATGACTAACTAAATATTCCCGTAGTAGGTTGCCGTTACTTTCTGCGATAGACTGCCTGTCCAATCAGCTATTCAACCCATAGCTGGGGGTATTTGCGCATTAGTGATTGTAACGAACCCGACTAGAATTCGAACTCGGCTACCGTGATCTCTCATTCCAAACCGATGTCCATTGCACCACAACGGACTTGTAAGAATAGAAAAAAGAAGTTATTGTTGCATACATTTTCGCGCTGGGGGTAGTCTTGGGGCGACGGTCTTGATTCACTCATATGTTGGATTCATCTCTTTGTCATCTTCCGGCCGCTGATCGCCAGCTAGTTTTTTAGTTCGGAGATAAAAGAGAACTTCAACAAAAGAATTTTAAACTTTTTTTTATTCGCCACGTCGACGTTTACATTTTTAACTAGCCAGTGGGATCGCCCTAACTCCACTTCCACTGGGGAGCAAGTTCCCAGACACGAAAAAAATATGTTAACATTGTATGACGCGTAAGACTTAACTCACTGAAAGCCCTTTCTACATCCAACATTCCCACGCTAGTTTTAGCCAATCAAAAACGACTTCCTTTGTTTCCTGTATCTGACCTCAAAGGTGAAAATGAGAAAGTCAGAGGAGAAATACAATTCTCTAAAAAATAATAGTCTGCTAGACTGCATTATAAGGAGAATAGAAACTACTAAGAAACTTTTACTAAGAATCAGAAAGGGATAACTGAGCTTTTTGAGACACACAATGAAGAACGAAGTCATGAAGAAATTAACACTCGCGCAACACATCAAAGAGAAACTGAAGTAACATTCTTGACATGGATGGCCGAACAAGTACTACAAACACAGAGAGAATCGTAAAGGAGAAAGTAAACTAAAATATCTTTGACCTCTTTCTTATTTTTAAACTGTACACCATAATTGCGCGCGCGTGTGTATGTAAAACGATGTGCTTTTTGAGATGAGATGAGCCAATGAAAATATTTTAAAGAAATTTTACAACTCTTTTACCATATATCAGGGTCTGCTTTAGCAACAAAATTTAACTGTGAACATTTCTTCCTTCGCTAAAAATACCACACAGCATTACCAATCTCGTTTTCTTAAAAAAAAAAAAACAAAAAAAAACACGCTTCACATGTCAAATCTAAGCATAATACAAATTTCTTTAAAAAGTTTCATTTTTGGGTAGTGATTTTCGCACTTATAAACAAATAGCTCGGTATCTACAGGGTGTTGCAGCAAAATCCGACACTTGACAAAAAGAAAACGAAATAGGCAATAGAAACAAAAGTTTTATATGCAGAGACTCGACAGTTTATTTAGCAACAGTCAGAGTTACATACTACATTATTTTTCAATGCAACCGCCGGCGGCGGCGACCACCTCAAGGCGGGCGCGAAATGAGTCACACGCTTTGATGACCATGTCCTTGTCGATAACAGCGAACGCCTCCACGATGGCAGCTTTCAGAGAGTCGACCGTGTTGCGGGCGTGCTTGTTGGTCTCGATCACGCCCCAGAAGAAATAGTCAAGGGGATTGCAGTCGGGTGAGGAGGGCGGCCACAAGTCCGGCGATCAGTGGTGAGGAACATTGTTGAGCAGCCACGCCTGGCTCGTCTTGGCCTTGTGTGCAGGAGCGAAGTCCTGCTGGAAGACGTAGGGGCGTTCGGCGGCGATCTCGTCCATCCGGGGCTTCACCACGCTCCTCAGCACCTTCTGGTAGATCTCAGCGGTGACTCTCGGACCCTTTTGAAAGAAGAACGCAGAGATGACGTCCCCCTCGCTGGAGATGACGCCAAGGACCATGACGGAGGAGGGAAACTTTGTATGCTTCACGACGGGAACCTCCTCGATGTCTTTGCTGATGCACCTGTCGTTCGGCCTGTTACTCGTCTGGTCCTGGATGAAATTCTTTTCATCAGAGAAGAATCCCAGCCTCCCAGCGGACCCGTGCTTGAGCTCGTTCAGCAAAGCCGCCGCCTTGACCTTCTTCGACTCATTGGAGGCATTCGTGATGAGCATGCGGTGAGAATTGCGCTAGGAGGAGTAACCAATGTCCTCCTTGTTCGTTCAGCAGATCGTCGACTTGTCACAGCCCATGTCAGCGGTGATCTTGGTGTAGCTCTGGCTTCTAACATTGTCGACTGTCTCCTTGACAGCGGCGACGAACTCGTCTGTCCTAACGACCGAAGAACGAACGTTGTGGGCCTTTCGTTTGGCAGTAAACTCGTCCTTGTTCTCACACGCCTTTCACTTCCTCCAAATGTCCATGACCATGGTCCTCTTGAACCGAAACCAGGCCATCACTTCCGAAGGCTTCTTCCCGACGCCAAAAGAAGCTACTACTTCTGCTCTGTGCTCATATTCCATCCTGAAAAAGGGTAGAGAGAAAAACGTTAGTTAGTTTTCAAACTGTCGGGTATCTGCATATATGTTTTATTTTTGTCGAATTTTGCTGCAACACCCTGTATGCTGATTATGAACTCATCTGAACCATTAGATCCTTCTAACTACTGGTCTATTAGCCTCCGACTTCTTTTTGACAAAGTACTAAAGATTTTAATTAACTCTGAATTGGTTAAGCATCTCACATCGCAGAATTTTCTACCAGATAAGCAATATGGCTTTCGCTTCACTTGGTCAACTTCACTAGGTTAACAATTATTGCTTAAAGAGTCTACCAAGCTTTAAATAAGAATGGTCAAGAATGGTGCTGTTGTTTTGGATGTCTCGAAGGCATTTGACAGGGTTTGGCACGCTGGTCTTATTCACAATTTTTGAACTGATTCAGGTTTTTCTTATCAAATCACGAAATGAAAGTTCTTTTGAATGGTCACTCTTTAGATCTGTTTACATAAATGCAGATGCCCCCCCCAGGGCGTTATCTTTGGACCTACGTTGTTTCTAGTTTTAATCAATGACTCTCCTGATGTCATTAGTTCTCAACTCGGTATCCATGCTGATGATACAACTATTTACACTTGTGTTAACAGTAAGTTTGATCGGATCTATAAGGTCAAATTGGCAGCTGACCTACAAACTGTTGTTAAATGGAGAAAGGAGTAGCTTGTTAATTTTAACGCCTCAAAACCGAAGCAGCTCTCTTTTAATCGACTGAGAGATCCATTTTTAAATTCCATCATTATGGCTGATGCTAACCTCCAGGAGAGTGACTCATTGCGTCTTCTCGAGCTAACGTTTTCAGCTGAAATGAAGTGGAAAGAGTACATTGAATCAACCGCTAAATCTGCTGCTAGGAAGATTGGTTCATCATGTTGTGCCAGACAAATTTTCTCACCAGAATCTATCTTACATATTTATAAGTGTACCATTTGTCCTTGCTTTGAATATTGCTGCCACATCTGGTGCTTCTGTTATATATTTAGAGATTCTTGATAAAATTCAAAGAAGTATCTGAAATTTTATTGATCATGACCTGGCATCTCGGCTTCAGTCCTTTTCCCACTGTCTTAACGTAGCCTTTTCTACAAATACTTTCATGGTAATTGTTCTGATGAACGTTCCGCTATGGTACCCAGACTTTATGAATTTAAGTGCAGTACTAGATTGGCGGCTAGGTCTCATTATTTTAAAGTTGAAATGGCTAGATGTAAGCGTAAGTTCTATGTTAACAGTTTCTTTTCTCGCACTTCGCGCCTGAGGAACTCGACTTCTTGCTTTCCAGTCAACTTTGATCTTCGAAAATTTAAATGCAATGTCAATCGTTATCGTCTGTCTTCTTGATTTCTTTTTTTTTATTATTCCCGATCCTTTAATAATTTTCTTTTTTCTTATTCTTTCACACTCGGTAACCCCCTTGTGTCATAGTGGCTTTTTCGCCTTGCCTGGAGTGAAATGATTTATAAAAAATAACAAATAAATACATTTAGAATCATTTTAATAGAAAATTAAACAGTTCCAAATATAATTTTCAAAATATATCCATAAAGCAAACACCTCTATATGCTTCATTATTTATATAGAAGTTCTTTAACCTAGCGTCTCAATGTTTTTCTACTTTAAATTTTCGTTTGTTAGGCAGTTGTTTGGAGATTTTATTTCTGGTTTGTCCATGTGAACTTTGATAGCCCTAGGGTTGCAGGCACCTCGGGCAAGGTGAACTTCGGCGACCTTACAAGTATATTTTTTTAAAAAAGTTTTCACATGGAGAAAAACTGAAAATGTAGAATAACGAAATTATTACAATATAAACTGTAACACAAGCTAAAGAAAACAGTCATTATCTTACGTAAAACATTTTTTATAGTCTTTAGATTGGCAAATCTTTTCATGGCACTTTCCCACACCTATCTTCTTTTTTCGACTGACAAAATAGCCAAGACTGCAAGTATGTTTTTTATAAGCCTTAGTTTTGGAAGAAGATCCCAAATACATGATATAACAGCATGATGGTTTTGTCTGAGTTACGACCTTTTATAGCCCTATATATATATATATATATATATATATATATATATATATATATATATATATATATGGAGTGAACTGTAAGAAATAGTAAAATCTAAAGTGGAATCAGTACTGGCCAAGAAAAAAACAAAGCAACAGGATCAGACAGAATCATAATAGAGATGCTAGCGAGGTTATTTTTGGCACTGGCAAAATTATCGACATAATAAAATGAAATATACAACAGTGGTGATATAAACTGCAGACCTAAGTAGATTTATTTTTATAGCACTGCCTAAGAAGCCAGGTGCAAAACTTTATCAAACAATAAATGAGCCATATAATAAAAAGCCTGCACATTTTACAAAAATACCAAAATTAGTACAGATTATCAGAAATTATCAAGAAATTACTATTGAGATGTGGAAAATTTCTCAGTGTTCTCAGACTATCAAAACTAATGTATGGTACCCCATGGCAAACTGAACTTACAAGTATAACTTTTTAAAATTTTCACAAGGAGAAAAACTTATATTATAGAATAACGAGTTTATTACAATATAAACTGTAACATAAGCTAAAGAAAACATTCAACATCCTACCTAAATCATGTTTTCTAGCATTTAGACTGCAAATCTTTTCATGGCACTTTCTACACCTATCTTCTTTAGAAGACCATTTTCGACTGACAAAATAGCCAAAGAATTTAATCTCTCTTGAGCCATGGACGACCGCAAGTATGTTTTTATAAGATTTAGTTTTGGAAAATCTCAAACACACGACATGGCGGCATGATGGCGCTCTCGGCTTTGATGGCGCCCCGGGCGACGGCTCGAGATGTCAGTACCTTGAGCCGGTCCCGCTTTTGAATCATCCAGCCGTATTTTGCCATCATGCTGATATTCCAATGTTCCTGGTGCCATCTTTTTATTTCTTCAGTATCCTGATAAAATCTTTCCCTTTGTTTTTCATTCGCCATTCAAAGGTTTTCGGGGGGAAATTCCAAATGCAAATCCAAAAAGTGAATCACTGAGTCTCATGTTACAACCCAGTTCCTTAAACTTGATTAATATGTTTCTCAGAATCTGTTTGAAATTTGGATTTTTATTAGCTAAGAAACTTAGAGAAATTAATTCTTCGAGTGATACCAATCTTCTCATTTAAGGACGTTCATTGCACCACCAAATTCTGCATCATCGTTCAATCATTTTAATCGGTTAGCGCATTTTGCGCCGCTGTAGTCACCACTCCCCTCCATCACACAATTGTGCTTCATGATAACATTCAAGGCAGAATAATGCAATCGCATGCCGCTTCCTTTTGCACTGAGGGTGTTGAGGTGACCCCGTCCCGCCTCTCAGACGTGGATTTGCTTTAGAAATTACATTCTTCTAGCCTTTGCCCAACGAGGCTGGGCCTACATGGCGGCAGTTGGTTTTAATTCAGTGTTACCTTCTCCTAGACTGGTTGCCACCCAAGGCTATAGGACACAGTCTGTCCTGCAAATTTACCCATAGCTGGGGGAATTCTGCGTCATAAATGAATTTTCTAATGCCAGTTCTAATAAATACGTCCTCTTTCAGACATACCAGTCAACTTTTTAAAAAATCATTTCACCCCAATCAAGGGAAAGAAAAGAGTATAGGGAGGACTGACAAAAGAACAAAAATGAACGGGATTCAAGAAGACAGAAAATGGCGATTGACGTTGCATTTAAATTTTTGAAGATTACGGTTATCATGGAAGCAAGTAAATGGGAGGGAGTTCTGCAGGCGGGAAATGCGAGAAAAGAAACTTTTGGGGTAGAAGTGGTGGTCGCATTTAACTATTTCAACAGTAAAATGGTCGGACCTAGATGCCAATCTAGTAGCATGTTTAAATTCATGTAGTCGGGGCACCAGGGATAAAAGCTCGTCAGAGCAGTTGCCATGAAAATATTTGTAGAAAAGACAAAGAGTAGCCACGCAGTGTCGGTGAGAAAGTGAATGAAGTCGAGATGCCATGTCAGGATCGATTACATTGCAGATCTTTCTTCGGATTTTGTCAAGAATTTCGAAATGAATAGCAGGAGCACCAGGCCAGATATGGCAGAAATATTCAATGCATGGACGAATGGTAGATTTTTAAATGTGCAAGATGGACTCTGACGAGAAAAACCTTCTGGCACGACACAATGACCTAATTTTCCTTGTAGTAGATGCAGCTATTGATTCCATGTAGTCCTTCCTCTTCAAGTCAGTTGAGAACGCTAGGCAAAGAAGCCGCAGTGTATTGCTCTCCATTAGTCTAGCATCAGCATCAGCAATCTTCTGGCTCGACACAGTGACTCAACTTCATTTGCAGTAGATACAGCTATTGATTCGATGTCGTCGCTCCACTTCAAGTCAGTTTAAAACGTGAAGCCAAGAAGGCGCAGTGTGTTGCTCCCCAGGAGTCTCGCATCAGCCATGCTGATAGCAGACACAAAAAAAATTCTCTATGGTGGTTAAAGGAGAGCAGTTTTGTTTTGGAGTGGTTTAACTTTACAAACTATTTCCTGTCCCAGTTAACCACTGATTGCAGGTCCTTTTCAATGGCAGTAACCAGGTTAACTTTGTTAGCTCTGAAGGATTTGCTATTGAAACAGGAATAAATGGTGGTGTCATCTGCATAAATACCTAGTTGGGAAGTGATGACATCAGAAAGATCATTGATGAAGATCAAAAACAGGATCCAGTATAGAGCCCTGGGGTGCACCCGCGTTCGTGTAAACGATGCTGGAAGCGAGACGGTTCAAAACAAACTTCAACTCACGATTTGTTAGAACCGATTGGACTGAATCAAAAGATCGTACTGTAATACTGACGCCCTGGGGCTTATGTAGAAGACCAGCATGCCAAACCCTGTCAATCGCCTTCGAGATATCTAGCGCCACAACTCGAGCTTCGCCGTTCTTATGAAAAGCTTTTCAGTGATGACCGTTAACACATCAGCGGTAAACCGAAGCCATATTGTTTGTCGTGGCACAAATACATTAGAAATGTTTATCTTTTGGTAGGAATTTGGAAACTTTTTCGTGAACCCAAGCGTAATATGAAACGTTGGCAGCGAAACAATTTCTGGATTCACCATCTTAGATTTGATGATCTTTTTGGTATCAACCCGTAGATATTCTATTTTTCCATTTCTGCTGAACCCAATGAAGATCTTCGGTTCTGCTAACGCACCCATAGAGAATTTTGTATATTTTGATTGCTTACTGAGTAACATACACAGAATTTATACGTATCCACATCTGAGTGAACTGTATTCGTTGTAGTTGATTTTCGCAAAAAAACATTTGCTAAATGCTGTTATTGTTTTTTGACTTGCTTTTTACGGCTTATCAAACATATTTTTAGATTGAAAGGATAATTTTGGAGATAATAATGATTTACTGATACAAGTCCTACTAATTAACCCATAACTGGGGAAATAAAAGATGTATTCATACATTTCTCAAGGGTATTTACCTGTAAGCTAATATAACGAATCCGACTGTAATTGGAATTCGCTTCTCAGATTTCTAATTCCAAGCTGTTATCCATTATACCACCTGAAACATCCGAGCTTACAACACCTGGTATTCCCAAGCGGTCGTCCAAGCAGGTATTGACCAGGCTCGACGTTGCTTCACTTTGGTGATCGTACAAGAGCTAGTGTTTAAACGTGATATGGCCGTAAAAGTCTGTTATATTTCTTTTAAATTCACAGAATGAGAATCAAGAATTGGTGCATATTTATTATTGCTATGAAGAAGTAACCTTTTCAAACTTCTTTTAGACGAATCTATAAATAGTTTCCATTGCAATTGATTCCACATTTCTGTACTAGACCATGTACATCAGTGCAATAAACAAAAGATCCATTTTTGTTGTAATTTCTTTTCCTCTATTTCGATAGCAAGAGGAAATTGTTCCGGGATATAAGTTTTTCTTTTAATCTGAACTCAACGACGACACAGCAGCATCTTTGGGAAGCTCGAGGTCTCTCTTTAAATAATTAAGAAATCCAGAGAATAGATGTGGCTCATTGCTTGAACATGCTGCAAAAAAATTCTTTATCTTTATCTGCAGCATTTTCTTCTGAATGAATGAATTTCTACATAATCAAGATTAACAGGTAAAGATTGGCAGATCAGATCCAGGGAGTTCAGGTGTCATTGCTGATGAAAGGATAAGCGATTTCTTTCTTTCTTTATTTTTTTGTTGTATCTTTGAAATTTATAGAAAAATATAGCAATTTGTTACTACGACTTTTACTTCCTTCCATAACATTGGAATTCCAAAAGTAAGAATTTTCTTTTTGCCTGTTGTCATTTGTCTTCCTTCTTCAATCCAAATAGAACAGACATTGAAATTTCAAAGTAAACTTATTATTATTATTATTATTATTATTATTGTTATTATTATTATTATTATTAACCTTCTTCTTTTTCAAAATATGTTAGGTTCTCTTTGTCTTTTTACTACAAATTTTCCACAAATATAACCAAAAAAAAAAACAAAAACAAAAAAATAACCAAACCCCCACCAAAAAAAAAAAACCCAGTAGTGTTCACACTAGCTCTAGCCACCACAATATAATCGATAACAGCGTAACAATATTTTAATTTATCTAAGAAAATAATCAATTACTGTCACCGTGTCTTCAATAAATCACCAATACTTTGTATCAGACAATATAACACTAAACATGTCCAACTGTTGAAGATGCTGCTTACTGATTGTTTAACGCCGCAATATTCTAGTTTACTAATGAAATACTTTATTTTAAACATGGATTTATTATTCGAAATACTAAATTCAAACATATACTGTAATTCATATAAAATATCCATATATATCAAGCAAACTTATACCGAAAACAAAATTTTTTTTACAAAAAATATTTCGTTAAGCAGAAAAATGGTTTCAGTTTGGAATTAACTTTTTACCACTTTCCAAACCACCTGAAATCAATTTAACAACGACAATGACTGCGTTACTATCTGAGGATGAGAAAATGATACGACCATCTTGACTTATAAGCGCTTGGACAGCAATCACACCTGTGTATAAGATTAGGCATAAAGGGATCCTGACAGTCATTTCGGTACCTTATAAGATAAGAACGTCGTGATGGCGGAGATACTCTGAACTGATAGGGAAATATACCTAGCTGTAACGTGATTGGGGATAACTGACATTAATGGGAATACGAAGGTGGTAGCAGTCCTTTTTATCATTTCACCTTTTTTTACCTTTGAAGGATCAGGCAGCCAAGGCGACTTTGGAGTCACATTTACATTTGCTGAGCGGACTGGGTTACCCGACCTGAAAGTATTTCTAACTGGGTTTCACCTGAAAGATTATGCGCTGTTTTAAACAAAACCCGTCACCATATCGCACACATTTGTATGTGTCTGGTATATTAGACTGGGTGTCATGTTGAATGTATTGGGTTTTGTTATTTGTACCCCAGCGTCACTTTGTTGGCGTGCTGTTCTCGCCCTCAATAATACATCGTATATCATTTTCCCTTTAGAGGACAGTGTACCGACGATACGGTAGGATACGCTGATGACATACGTGTTCATAGTTGATATTAGAATGATCTTGAACAAAAAATCAACATTTTCTACCAAATTTTATACAGAAGGTTCACTCTGTACAAAGCCACTCGAGGTAGAGTATTATTTTAAGGACAGCTTATACGGATAGACGGTTAACTCTAGTCTTGAACAGGTTAAGATTTTAGTGATCGGGAAACATCCTTTTGGGTGTCTGTTCCACAGGGCTATGGTTCTCGGGAAGAAGCTGTTCGAGTAGAACTTACTTCTCACCGATGGAATACGGAGGAAATGTGGGTGGTTTGATACTATGTAAGTGGTATGGCAGGTCCTGGCCGTGAAGGTTAAGCCTGGCGAAGCCAAGGAATGTAGTTCGTCCGAGCACTTTCTATGGAAGTAGCGATGAATTCTAACTGAAAGTAACTCTGACATTTCAAACAATAAATGCAGCGAGCGTGTTTTCCTACATGGGAACAGTTAATTTCATCGTTACCATAATGTCACACTAGAAATCACAGCTTTAAATTTGAAGTTAGTTTTCATAGGCATCTCCACGAAATCGCTAAAAAATCAACATACCGTGATGAAAACAGTCTCCAAACATAATGATAACAGTTTTATCACCAAAATCTTTATGTTATTAAGAGGAAAGATAAAGGTATTTTTAAATATTTAATTAATTCTTTTACTCCTTTTTAGAATATTCGAAATTTTGATTAAAAATCTTATTTTTCTTGCGTCAGCGGATGTAATACTATATTTTAGCATAGCAAATTTTAGCGTCTTCTTTTGCGGTGACAGACACATTAATTTGAAAATTCTTTCAAAAAGCAAATAATTGTCGGATTTTAATGAAATTTTCAGAACTTATTCACAAGTGAATTAAATTATTTTTGAAAGTTTTTTTATTAGAAAATCTCCGTAAAAATATGTTTTTACATATGTTTCAAATTAGATTAATTATACTTTAAATCAGATAATATTCCTCAAATAAAGTTTCAAAAAAGTATATTTTATTTCTGGAAGAGATAAAGAGATTTACATTTTTATAACACTTTGCTAAAATGATGCTCCAGCATTTTTGTTTCTGTTGTCATTAGCACAGATTTTTTTCTAAGCCATGTTTTAACGAAAGGAGTGGCAACCCATAATTATAAAGGGAGACCAATAGGATTAATTGTCATCATGTTTCCTGCATTTTCCACTGTAAGGCGGATTCTATTATCTGAGTATATAATATTCATTCAGGAAAAACCTCTTTCCACCTTGGAAGAACTGATAGCAATCATATTGATAATAGTTTTCACTTTTTGTACACTTTGAGGAATTACAGGATTATGAAAGTATTTCAGAACATTTTCTACATAGTCACGAAAATGAAATGTTGTCATGAAAACTTTTACTGAAGCCATTTAGCTTTTCTTTGAAAATTTTTAGGTCAGGGAGAACAAAAGACACTCATTGTGTTACTGGCCCTAAGAACCTGCTGATATTTTTTTAATGGACTGTAATTGGACGGTTAAAAGGTGAACCGCCCTCTTTTGAAGGGAGAGGGAGAACTGGGACTGGACCTTAGCAGCAGTTAGAAACGAGACCGCTTAGAAAAGAGGTTCATTTTCTCTCTCCCTGCTGAAAAGGCAGGCAGCGTTTGCCCATAAGTGAAGGATGCATGAGTAACAAAGTTGCTGAGGGCAAGTTTCCCCTTCAGAGAAAGTTTTGAGAAGTCCTGTCGAAGAAGCCCCAGAAAAGAAGTCTATAAGTGGAGTTTGGAGCTAAAGCCGTTTGAGAAGAAGAAGAAGGAGCAAACACGTGCGTTTTCAAAAAGCGTTTTACCACGTGTTTAAGTAAATTTTCACCTTCTAGCGACCCTAAAAGAAAGGCGTAATTTGCCGGCGGACAGGATCAAAATAAGTGAAGAAAGGAGGGAGTTTGGCCAATAAGAAGAGAACCTTGTCTACACAAGAGAGAAAAGAAAACAAAAAATAAAAACCTTTGAACTTTGAAAGGACTGAAAGTGTAATGTAGAGCTATGGCTCTTCCCCACTTTTTTTATTGTTATCATTGACACAGCAGGTGGGAGCAATTCTTTCTTTTTTTTCTTTTTTTTGTGCATTGTAAGTTTTAAGTTTTGTTTTTCTGATATATATTTGGAATTGTGTTAATCAGAGAATAGGTTATCTTATTCTCAGCAAAAAGGGACGAATTTTTGCAAGAACCCTTATTTAGCTGGTTAGAAATAAATATTTTTTCTTTGTAATTGAATCTGATTTGCATTTTTTTCTCTTTCTTTTTCGTTATTAATTCGGGCAATAGAAAAATACTTTTGCAGCAGGTTTTATTTTCTTTCAGAAAATAAAATTTCCGAAATTTCTTCCGCAGCTTTCTTTAATATTCCAAGTATTTGACTCTAGCAAGTTCAGCAGTTCATGAAATTTGTATTAACCTTTATTCGAACACCTGAGTTTACGTCCCCAACCGATTATGTGACTACAATTTGTAGACAATCTAAAATTAGTAGTTTGTTTGTTCGGCTTGCAGCTTGCAACGGGTTCGCTGAGCTCATAAAATTCCAAGAACAGGTTCGCGCGAACCTGTGCGAACCAGCTGAACCCTACCACTGTATACAGAGGAATTAACTAACACAAAAAACCAATACTCACCAAAACGAGACAAGATCGCTTTCTCTGTCTGCTTGTCTCCCTCTCTTCCCTCTCTCTCTGTCTCACTCTTTCACAGGCACATATATAGATAGACATAAAGAAAAAAAAGAGATTGTGGAGGTATATTCAGTCACCCCATGTGGTCATAAAAATTGGACAGTACAAACAAACGTATGCAATAACAATAAGAGGGAATAAGATGCAATAACAATATGGTAAATTGTATGGTAATTTCATTTATGTATTTGTGTGTATTGGTGTATGTATGTTTTACGTTACAATTGTGATAATGTTCATGTTATAAAAAGGGAGTAAGTCACCCCGTAATATCACAAGTCCTATCACGGAGGGAAGTTATACACGTGTTGTCATCCCGACAGTCCTTGGGCGAAGAGGTTGAATCTCACGTCTCTTGGCGGGATGCCCGTATTTCCAGTAGGAACAGTTCCTGTTGCATGCTGGGAGTAATTTTA